TCGGTGAGGAAGGAGGAGAACCACCGCATAACAGTGCCTCCCACTCCCAACCCACTCAACCGTCGCAGCATGATGCCGTGGTCTACGGTATCAAAAGCCGCCGAGAGGTCCAAAAGAACAAGGACAGAGGAATAACCCCTGTCCCGGGCCCTCCAGAGATCATTTACCAACGTGACCAATGCCGTTTCCGTGCTGTATCAATTGGGGGGGTCTTTTCAACCACTTTCTGACCCTAAGAAATTAGAAATGAAATGGAAACCATCCTTCTAAAAAGCAAAAAGGAGTCAAATAAAGGTTTCAAACACATTTAAAGCAGGAATGTTTTTTATTACCTAAAACTTCCAAAGATGGAGTTGGCCCTTGCTTCTTTGGGAGGAAATTGTACAGTTTGGGTGCTGCCACTCCAAAAGCATTTTATAATATTTCCATCAATTGAATTTAACTTGAAACAACAGACAGAACCTGCTCTTTCCATGAAAATAATCTTTCCTTAGCAATAAATGCCTTATTAAACTCACCCCTCACTTAAGGTATCTACCTTTTTGTACCACCAGGAACATAATTTATTTAAAAAATTTGAAACTGCCCATCCCCATCACAAAGCAGGCTGGCAAAGCACCTGTTTTGAGAACTCTCTCCTCAAAGTACAACAGGACGTGCCCTAATTATTATTTTGTGAAATAACTGTAAAAGAAGGAGTGGCAGAAATTGGAGGTGGAGTTAAAAGAGGGATCAGCCTAGAATCCCTGCGTAGCCACAAACAAATTAAGTCTAACTTCCCTTGAATTCCCTTGACTCTTATTTGACTCCAAGCAGGTGCTGACCATAAGTTGAGAATATTTCTGTGCACAGGCATGATTATCTATAAATTAGTTTAATTGGACCTTCACACATGTAGATCTGGTCTTTCTTGCCTGACGTTAACCCTTGAAACCATTAATGACATAGCAAGGTAAACAGGTCTCATATTTTAGTCTGATGACATATTAAGTAGTTAAGGATGTAATGAAATTCACATGAAAAGCTGTTTATCAACCCCTAAGCATGTCACACATTTTCCCTCTACACATGGGTAAGGGAAGCAAGCGAGATTCTTACCTCAGCAAGATTCTTACCTCAGTCAAGCAAGACTCTTACCTCAGTCAAGCAAGATTCTTACCTCAGTCAAGCAAGATTTTTACCTCAGTCAAGCAAGATTTTACCTCAGTCAAGCAAGATTCTTACCTCAGTCAGATCCCCGTTTGGCAGGATAGCCAGATCAGGTCGGAGACAGCAATCACTCAACACCATATTGTACCTATATATATATATATACATATATGTATAGATGAATATACATATTTTTAAAAAGCAGTAAAGAGACCATTTCCAAGTTAAATGGGACTAATTCCGCCCCTATAGCATTTCCCCAGGGCCTGTTTAAAGAGTGAAAGACAGATTTAGAAAATGTATCTCAGACACATCTGCCCCACTGGGACATTTAGAAATTTATCTGGTTTTGCCCCAGGTAGAATTGTGACTGTTAGTCCAATTAACTAATTGCTTTGAAATAGTTATGTGCCTGGTGAGCACCACAATGGGCAACAAAGACAGTGATTGGCTCAAAACTGACTTGTAACATCAGTTGCGTTTTGAATGATGTCATTATCAGGCTGGCCCTTACATAATGCTATGTTATAATTTTGTATAAATGTATTTCTCCATCCTCTTAACTGGCTAGGGAGGAAAAGTCCTGCCAAATTTAGCTCTGATTTTTTTTTTAATCTGCATGTGTGTGTTCAAGTTAGTGTCATCTCCTGGTGACTGCCTGGACAGCTCTCTGCAGTTTCTCTCAACAAAACTTTTCCAAGGACTTTGCCCTTGCGCTTCTTTCTAGGCTGAGAGAGAGGTATTGGCCCAAGGTCACCCAAAACAGGCCTCACCCAACTCACAGTCTCATGATTTCTAGCCTGTTGCCTTAACTCAGGGGTTTTCAAACTTGGCCCTTTTATGACTTGTGGACTTCAACTCCCAGAATTCCTCAGCCAGCATGGCTCAGCTTGGAAACCTCTCCCTTTCCCCTCAGCGTGCCTGGCTGAGGAATTCTGGGAGTTGAAGTCCACAAGTCATAAAAGGGCCAAGTTTGAAGACCCCTGTCTTAAATCTAACAAACAAAATGGAGGCTGGCTGAGGAATTCTGGGAGTTGAAGTCCACAAGTCATAAAAGGGCCAAGTTTGAAGACCCCTGTCTTAACTATTACACCAAATTCTTTTCTCATTAGATTCTAATTTAATATTTACTGTTTTTATTTATTAGGGGCTTCTATTAAACACAGCACAATTCCTCAAGGTAGGCTGGGCTGAGAGAGAATGACTGCCTCACAGTTAGGGGTTTCACTTTACCCTCAGTCTCCTTGCTCCTAATCCAATACCTTCAACTCAACACCGCATTAATTCTCACTGATTCTTACCACAGTTCTTATCTGTGCCCCAAACATAATGTTTGAAAAGCACTCTCCATTTTGTGGTTCTGGCTTAGTAAGCAACTGCAGTTTGGCTATAAACCACAATATCTGTGATGCAGTGAATTAATAAGCCAGGAATTCGGGAACATCGGGGTTTAAAGACTTTCTCCCAGTTGGGAAGAACAGACGATACGTGGCTCCACTGCTTAGTTCAGGCTCACCAAGTCTCATGTAAAGGTAAAGAGTTCCCCTGTCCTGTCAAGTCCAATTTTAAGGGGTGCTGCTCATCTCTATTTCTTAGTCGAGGGAGCCAGTGTTGTCTGAAGACACTTCCATGGTCACGTGGCTGGCACGACCAGGTGCACGGAAGGCTGTTACCTTCTTACCAAAGTGGTACCTATTTATCTACCCACATTTGCATGCTTTTGAACTGCTAGGTTGGCAGGAGCTGGGGCAACAGGAGCTCACCCTGTCATGTGGCACTCAGGCCTCAAACCTGGGCTTCAGCTTTCCAGCTGATAAGCTCAGTGTTTTTATCCACTGAGCCATCACGCCCCACAGTCTTGTGTACTTAATACCGTGTTTCCCCGAAAATAAGACCGGGTCTTATTTTTTTATTTTATTTTTTGCCTCCAAAAGAGGCACCAGGTCTTATTTTCGAGGTAGGCCTTACCTCACCTCCAGCACCGACAGCGCCACCCAGCCGGTCCACTTCTTCTGGGGCTGAAGTTCTACAGCTGCATTCGGGCCTGCATTTTGCAGTCGGGCCTTTCCGGAAGGCCTAAGCAGCCGAGTACCGGGCTATGGATTCAATCCATAGCTTGGTGCTCGGCTGCTGAGCTCTTGCAGAACTGAGCTATTTGGCTGCACAGGCCTTCCGGAAAGCCCTGTGTCTGGGAAACGCAGGCCTGGCTACAGAAGAGGCCTCAGAAGAAGAAGTGGGCCGGCAAGGAGAGGCCTGGCTACAAGTGGGTACGGGGCTTATTTTTGGGATAGGACTTATATTAGGCCCACTCCCCAAAAATCAAGGTAGGGCTTATTGTTGGTGTAGGCCTTACTTTCGGGGAAACACGGTACTAAATCATGGCTTTTTGTTACACAAGGCCTGGTCCAATGTTTTATTTCAGTGCAGCCAGTGAAGATTAAAAGCAGGACGCTCACAGTAAGGGAGGCTGAGATAGGAAATCACCATCTTGTTCCTGGACATAAACTATCGGTCCAAAATGGCTGCAAGGCAGTTTAGGACCAACCTCCACCCAGCAGCCTTTCCCCACCTGCATCACAAGAGAAAAGTTCACGAAACTCCAGCAAAACCAACCTTTCTTCTTCAAACTCCTTTCCGAAAAGGATGTTGTCTCTCAGCGTGGCGTTGAGAATCCAGGCCTGCTGGGCCACATAAGCAAAGGTCCCGTCCACGGAAATGCTGCCTTCCAATAAAGTCATCTGAAACAGCACGACAGGCCTGTCAAAGATACTGCCTCAAAGTCTCATCAATAAAGGAGGATATTTGTAGCTCAGGGTTGGAAGGAGGGATCCTTGGTGCTCTCTGAGCTCGCAGTGTTTCATTAGCCAAACTAGGTAACGTCATCAGAGCTAGAAACGTCTGCAGGAAAACAACCAAGCTGAGGGAGCACCAGGGACCCCTCCAAGTCTTATAAATTCCCGCCCTTCCCTCTCAGACTCTTCTTTCCTCTCTCACCTCCCATTTATGGAGAGAGGCTAAACTACCACATCCCAAAAGGTATTCTTGTGGAGCCTCATCTTTACAACTCTTTGGAAGCCCTATAAGATGGTGGAGGTCTAGGTATCTGGAAATTAGGGTTGTTCCATTGAAGGGGGCTATCACAAAGAAAGCCTAACCATTGGCTACCTGCAGATGGCCTTCCTTCAAAGAAATGACTGATGAAGCCCTGTCTCGGTCCAAAAAGCAAGCTTAGAGATCTTCTAAGATTGACATGTACCACAGGCCGAGGAGACCTCCACTTCCCTGGATATGGTGTTACCAGGCACCTCCTCTGCCTGGACAGAGGCCTCCCCAATCAACACGAAGGGTAGACCTGGGCCTTAGGTTGATGCTCCCACACTCTGTAAGTGTGAATGACTCGCAGGAAAGCAAGAAATCATGGCTTGGGACCAGGTTGTTTGAAGGACTTTTCCCAGTTACATCTACTCAACACACCAGAGAGGGGAGAGGCAGTGTATGTTAGGGGTCCCCTCTCTTAAGGAGGTCCATCTAGTGGGCCCAAGAAGAAGGGCCTTCTCCATGGCGGCCCCCTTCCTATGGACCATCATCTCTGTGGAGATAAGACTGGTCTTCAACATGATACTCTTTCAAAAGGCCCTGAAGGCATAGTTTTGGACCCCAGGGTGATGGGGAGCCAATCAAGTGGCTGGTTAATAATGATGATGATGATGATGATGATGATGATGATGATGATGGTGATGATGATGATGATAAAGTTGGAAGGGGCCTTGGAGGTCATCTAGTCCAACCCCCTGCTCAGGCAGGAAACCCTATACCATTTCAGACAAATGGCTGTCCAGTCTCTTCTTAAAAACTTCCAGTGTTGGAGCATTCACCGCTTCTGGAGGCAGGTTGTTCCATTGGTTAATTGTTCTAACTGTCAGGAAGTTTCTCCTTAGTTCTAGGTTGCTTCTCTCTTTGGTTAGTTTCCATCCGTTGCTTCTTGTCCTGCCTTCAGGCGCTTTGGAGAATAGCTTGACTCCCTCTTCTTTGGGGCAGCCCCTGAGATACTGCAACTCTGCTATCCTGTCCCCCCTTGTCCTTCTCTTCATTAAACTAGGCAGACCCAATTCCAGCAACCGTTCCTTATATGCTTTAGCCTCCAGTCCCCTAATCATCTTTGTTGCTCTTCTCTGTACTCTTTCTAGAGTCTCAACATCTTTTTGATGGTTGTCACCAGGGGACTTGGGGGTTTATTGGGTTTTGTTTTGGGGTTTTATTTCTGTAAAAGACCTGG